TTACTTCGTGTGGCAAAATATGAGTCAGGTGCCCGATGGTGGTGCAGTATAGAAAGCAGTGGATATAGACTAAATTTAAAATAAAACCACACCAATTACTTTATGTTCTGGCTGCGAGACATTTTGCCAATACTAAGATTGTTCATTGCAATTTTTAAGACAGCACATCGTATACACTATCCAGTGTTCTCCTTCGATTTTCCATCACTCTTCTCGTTCTTGTAAGTTTACTTTCCATCTCAAACCTGACAAAATGTTTAATGTTTCTTTTGATGACCTTAACAATTGTCCGCATATATGTAATTTTGTTGTACCCTTAATGTTATAAGTTTTTCAACTTTGAGTTTTAAATATATTTTCCAGTTATAATCGTTGTACCTTGCTCTTTCACAGAGTCGGTCTTTACAACTTCTGTGTTTGTCTTTTAATAGTCTGACATTCTAATAGTGCCAAATGACGGTGTTTTTACTAAAACACCGTCATTTGGTGTTGCCAATGAAAGGAAGAAAACTCTTATACGATAAAATGCCATGCACATTATAGGCAAAAATATACAAATAAATAGTATTTTAACTGAATACAAATAAACAGTATTTTAACTGAAAACCCACACGTAGGCGGGGAGCATTTTAATCTAAATAGAGCTTTAGCCCCAAGTCTTTAGCCCCAACAAGTGATAATGGATTTGAACTATACATTTATAGAATCATATTCTATTTGAAAATCATAGTTATCGTAAACTCTTGCCTCATATTTAATTGTAATAAGTGGGTTAGATTTCACAAAAAGTTCAAATACCTGCAGTTTTTAACTTTCCTCACTTTTTATTGAATCAGCAAGCTAAGTGCAGCGTACATTTTTATTTATAAACAAATCAAACGAGAAGGCCGCAGAAATATATATTTGCTTAACACAATATCATATTATTAAGCTATTATGTTACTTTTCCACATTAAAATTGAAGATTTTTTCCTATTCTTTCAAAGAACGTTGTGTCAAACGACTGGATCAATCCTTACACCTCTACAACAACAGTGCCATCTGTGTGGAACCGCTTCTAGTATAAATAGTGTTTGAGCTATTCGGTCAGATAATAATCTGCAAGACCTAAACTTATTTTCATGACCTGGAAGTAGACATCGTCATCAACCCTACGAAAGGTTAAAGTTCAACAGTTAACGAAGAAATTGATGGTAACTGTGTGTGGGGGGGTGGGGTAAATATGAACTTTATACTGTATGGTTAGCTATTTAATGCAGTCAGATACTGTAAAACACTAGACAGTTTGGAGGAAGTTGTCTTTATACACACGCAGTATCATTCGTTATCACACACATATATATATACATAAACCATTGCGTAAATGCGTCATCATACTGTAACAACCCCACCCCATACGTGGCTAACCTGACAAAAACAAAGTTTTAAGTTATATGATAAGGATGTTTTACCGTATCCACTGCATTTTACTAACTTGACGCCTTCGAATAATCATCTCGATGGCAACTACATAGAAAATTAGCTTAGGAATGCTGGTAATATATCTACAGGGCTTTATTTGTATATTAATAAATATCATGGATAAGTAAATGTTTCTACATGACTTTTTGGTCATCCTTCGTGACTGTTTCTCTTTTCCCTTGTCATCTGTACGCTTTGTATTCCATATTTCACTCATAGTCAAATATTGATTGCTAAACTAAATAATTTCAACAAAAGAAACATATAGACAAAAATTAAACATTCTTTTTCTAATTTTCAGAACGCGTAGATCCGGTTCTTATGATAACCAGACTTTACACACACGTCAGAAAAATACATTAGTCACAGAGAACATCAAGTAGAAATAAGACGTGCAAATTTTGTTTTTAAAACTTGAAGGTGAGGTTTAAGTCAAAACGAGGCGTAAAGTATTAACACCTGGAAAGAAAAAGAATATGAGTCTGATATCTTCAAGGTTTCTTCTTTTTAGTAAAAGTTGCAGTAATGATGATTTACGGTATATGAAAGGTATTTGCAAAAGGTTAAAAATTGTGCATTGAGAATTTTATATCTGAACAATATGCTGTAAATGGCTGACTGAAAGTGAGAAAGACACGATAGATGTATGCATACGAGAAAGCCAGCAATACTAATAGAATGTTAATATGAAGTTATTAAAAATGTAGGTTGCAACTAGATTGTGATAATTTCACAAGACCTTGGTAGTTTTTGTTTTTTTAAATGCGATGTGGGCAGAGATTCTATATCTTTTTCGTTATTCTTGCCGAATACATTTGGCTCACCATGACTGCTTAGATTGGTAATGAAATAATAACTCCGGAATTGGTAAGAAACTCAAAGATCTATGGCATTGTAATGGTGTTGACAAAGAAAGAAGGCATGTGGAAAGTAGAAGTTAAAGCAACAAAAAGTAATATAATCAGAGAAGAATACTTTTCTATTTGTACTGGAAAAACTTATTCCGAAATAATCTTTTTAATTTGACTTGAATTCATTTAACTTTTCAATTTATTTATTTATTTATTCATAAGTTATTTATACTTTATTGCTTATATGTTTCGTAAATAATTGAGTGAAAATTACTATTTGAAATAGATCAATATATCAATCTTCCAAATATGGCTGTTTGAAGAAAAATCATTGCTGATTCTGACTCGTTTAAACGCATTTCATCAGTCATCAAAGAATTTTTAACATTTTCAATGGTTGTTTTTTATTCAAATTATTTATTCTTTTTTCATCCTCTATTTGTTGATAATTGGGTTTTCGAAAAAAGCAACTTCGTTCTTTTTTCCCTTCTCTAAATTGCTACGTCTTTGTTTTTATGATTCGTTACCCACCTTTTGCTTTTACCTTTTGCTCTCTCGATTTTTCACGATTAGTAAACAAACGCCTTCTGTCTCAACAAAAAGGAAGAAGCCAGATATCTTACTTTTTCTTCTGTGACGGAAATAATAGAACAGAATTGACGAGAAGGAGAGGATGGCGTCTTGAATTTTTCATGGAAACAATGTGCGTCTGGTATTTGTTGTAAGTGTTTCAAAATGATTCGTAAAAAGCGATTTCACTGAAGCGAGTGAATCTAAAGAGGGAATAAGCATAATGAAGGCCTAAAAATATACTGCACACGAAGGTGTAGACTCGAGCAGGTATAGAGATTCGAACATTAAGTAGCTGTGAAACTCAAAAATATTTGACTGAAAAGAAACAGTTGCTTTAAAATGTTTAAGTTAAAAGAAAAAAAAAGAAAACACCGCAATGAATCTAAAAGAAATGACACCAGAGACACTTAAATTTCACTGCGTTTCTTTAAGCATTTTTTTTCCAAACTTCATTCCCCAATCCTACACCATCGCTTTTATTTTGCTTTACTTTGGTTTTCGGGAATAAATAATGATACAATGATGTAGGCAAAATAGTTGAAAGTATTAATTTCAGAGATCGCCCACTTGGCCATGTGGTCACCGACAAAACAATTATCTATATTTGTCTATCTGTTTTAGTCTCTTCACATGTAAGCAAGTGCACATAAGTATGCCCATGTGTGTATGAGTGTTTGTGCATTGATTTATATATAACACATCTTTTAGGCTATTTATTAAAAAACAAAAAAAGAACTCTAAGCATATACATGTCATTCATCCTCAAAGTTTCTCTCACTATTTTACTTACACAAAATACTCGTATCATTCTCTCCCCTTCGACCTGGCATGCTATAAATATTATTTGATCTTATACAAGCAGACGGAAGAAAGCCCTTGCCGTAGTACAATGTTTAGTATGTTTGTCTCGGGAGGCAATTCACATGTGTACTGTGTTGAATGCTCACTAGGCGTCTCACAACTATGGCGTTATGCCAAAACAATTAAGCTTAGTAAATAATGATATATATATATATATATATATATATATATATATATTAATAAATATACATATTATCCCTTACTCGGAGTTTCATGCGCAACGCAATCTTCATATGCACTGACCGTTACGAAAATTGAATTTAAAAATATATCTGTTACAACAATGCTGGTGCAGTTAAGTATTATATATATTGGGATTATAGATTGTAAAAGTAACATACACTAAAAACTAAACCAATATTCAATTATTAATATTAAAAATTAATCTGGATCTACATGCTTAAGTAGAAATTTATTTTTATGCCTATATGCAGCCAGCAGTTAATTTCTCTATCTCCCCGCTCCCATCCCCTCTCTCCGTCTCTTTCTCGATATATATATATATATATATATATATATATATATATATATATATATATATATATATATATATATATAAACTGCTGAAGAATTCTCAGTTCGATCCTTTTCCCCAAATAAATATTTTCATGACCAAATATCAGAATACTGATTTGGGAAAGTGAGTATGGCATGAAAAATGTTTGGCACTCCCTCGTATGAGTAATACAACGTATAGAACGAGTTGTTTCATAAGATGAAAGATGTTTAACCAACTTGATTGTGAGTGACTGTGTATTTATATGTAAGTATATTTGAGAGCGTATTTTTATGTACGTATGTATATGTGTGAGAACTTACGTTTATATACATACATGAGAAAGCGACCGTATATGTGTGTATGTTTAATTCACTTTGTTATTTTCAATCATTGTTGTAGACGTTGCTTATATGCAGAGTAAAAGTTTTTTTTGTTTTTCTTTCAAGATTTTTGGCCTTACATGGAAAATATTTTTTCTTTATACTTAGAGATAACGCGTTTAAGCCATCCAGTTCCGGAGACGGACAGAAGAAGCGACATCATATCTGTTCGCTATTATTTGGTTTAACGAGGCTCGACAAGTTATGAACATTAAAATAAGATAACCAAGTAAAATAATATTAAATAAAATATGGCAATTTAACTCTTCCAGTTGAATTTTGACTATGGCAAGGTAAATGTTGAAAAGAACTTTTTATTCCCGTGAGTTTTAAGGCGTCTATTTTTACGGCTGTGTTTTTACCATTAGAGATCTGTTAACCTGAGATACAAAGAAAATAAGTGTAGATTTTTAGTTTCTCTGAAGTAGAAAGTACATGTTCATTAACAGAATAGATAGATAGATAGATAGATAGATAGATAGATAGATAGATAGATAGGAAGTATTTGTTTTCCCTCAAGTGTATGCGAAATACATCAACTGCATAAATAAAGAAATAAGCGTACTGCCACATTAGATGATATTACTCTGAGCATTCAGTTAATGTAATGAACATGTCTATAGAAGAAGAGACCGTAAAAACAATTTTAGAAGGGAACTGGAGTGAGGTATGGTTATTTAGAAAATCTAACTTCGTCTGAGATAACGCTACACTGATGTGGTACCCAACGAGGATTGAACTCACTCCAATGGTCTGCTAGAATAGCTCATTTATCATAACCTCACAGTAAGGCTCCCAGGTGAGGAAGCAAGACAGATGAATACTGAAAGATTTAAAAAAAAAAAAAAGGTGTGCTGAGGCTAGAAAGCACAGACAAACATTGAGGCTAGGCGAAAAAGATGCGATTGAAATAGAAAGTGAGATTTGTAAATACAAAAGAATGACAAAGAGAGAGAGAGAGAGAGAGAAAGATGTAACCAGAAAGAGGAGAATAAGTGGCGATTAATGCGCACGCGTAACACCCCCAAGATATAGACATAAGTTCGTACTCACATACGTATATCTTCTTTTTAATATACCAGTAGCCATATAATACAAATGAATCTTCACACGCCCATGCACTCCTACGTACATGAATGTGTGTGTATGTGTGTGTGAGAGAGAGAAAGTATGTGTGTGCGTGTGCGCGCACGCTAAACAATGAAAAACATGGAAAATACGATCCAGGCACAACTAGAACGCATTTCAAACAAATAAACCACATTTTTTCTTCCATTTTGGTGAGACTTATTCAGGATACTAGAAATATATATAATTAACAAAAGTCTACAAATGTGCAAACTTATTCTGATGAGTATATTTTATTGTAAATTTTCGATGCAGTCAATTTTACTCTACCAAAATATTTTCTTTTTTTCCAACACGTTTAAATATTTGAGAGGATAAATGATAATCAAAACGAATCGACATTCTATGCCAACTTTCTTTTGTATCATCGCTATATTCTCTCACTTTCTCTTTATCTATCGCTATATATATATATATATATATATATATATATATATATATATATATAATACCAAATTGTAATTGGTAGAGATTATTCCAAGGGGGACATTTAGTCTATATGAGAGCTCAATGTATGATACAGAGCAAATTATTATTAGACTGATGAGATGAATATGTTTATATTCATCGAAATATATTTATTATGACAACGGATTTTTAACGTTTTTTTTACTAATTATTATTATTATTATTTATTTATAAAATGTCTTAATATATATATATATATATATATATATATATATATATATATATATATATATATATATATATATAAAAGAGAGAGAAAAGAAATAGAGAGGGGGGTATTCTGAAAGGTTCTTGACCAGGCTATGAGTATTGGATGCATAGTCATTAGATCAAAGTGATTCTATCAAGAACTTTTCAGCTGCATCTAATATATATATATATATATATATATATATATATATATATATATATATATATATATGTATTAAGACATTTTTATGTTTATACGTTCTTTATATATATATATATATATATATATATATATAGAATGTACCTACAATTTTAAAACTGATAAAGCACTATAACGAGTGCTCCATAGATAGATAGATAGATAGATAGATAGATAATGTTTACTATCTTATATATCCTCTGAAAGAAAATCAAAGGATAGGGTAGGGTGAATTGCATAGGACTTGTTTTCGTGAGTTGATGTTCGCCTCTTCTTACTTACGTCATAACTGCTGCCTTGAAAGCCTGGTATAAGTTCTGTCTACCTACATAGGTATTTAGTATTTTCTGCTGTAAGTTTCAGTACGTGTTCTGTCCTTACTGGGTTTGTTTTTTTGTTTTGTTTTGTTTTGTTTTTTTTTGTTATTTGTTTGTTTTCTCAAAACTTTCTAACTTCTATACAAACAAAAAACTATGGGCGACCGACTTTCTCTAAACGATGCAGCGATCCCATTTGGAACTACCTTCGGCAAGCAAAAGTAAGAAAAAACCCTTTTTTTTAATTCTTGCCTGTCTCTAATTTAATCCTTCCACAAAAAAGAATATATAACATAGATTAAAGTTCTTCTTTTGACCAAAAAATTATTATACAAATGTTAAACTCACTTTATTCTTATAATTCGTCAACTTTCAATTTCTGTGCTTTGACGTGGTATAAAAGATATGTGTGCATAAATGTATGTATGCACGCGTTTTGGGGTGGATATGAATGTGTTTGCACGCGCACGTGTGTGTGTTTACAAGATGGACTTCAGCTGATTGGGTTCCTTCGCTTCTTAACTTATTTTACAGAATCTTTTAAAATAATGATTTTAAGTTTTAATTTTGACGCCATTGGTTGGGATGTTTGGAAACTTATCTTGCCAATCAGTTCATTAGTGGAAGGCGTTCGATCATCACTAGGTCCTCCACTACTGTTTCTTTGTACGAATTCTATAATAAGCGTACTAAGTGACTTTATCACTATAAAGATTGTATTTGTTAATATTTCTATTGAGTTTTTGAAAAAAAATTCATTACTCAGGACAATCATTTTCAACAATAAGGAAAGAAGTCATAAAAATGAAAGTGATTTTAATCCGAAACTAATTCTTTTTTTCTTTTCTTTTTTTTCTGCCTTTGTTTCGTCCGCTAGTTAGGTTTATCTAGATGAATAAACAATACACTGATTTATGCTCAAATATTGATTTCCGGTTACATAATTATAGACAAATACATATTAATAACCATCTGACACAATAAGAGTTTCTTAAGAATTGAAGACCTGCACTATAGATTGATAATTCTATATTGAAGATATTTGACAAAAATCCAACTATTCAGCACTTTTCGAAACAAAATAACCAATGTCGGGTGTTTTTTCACTCCTAATCTTTCTTATATCTTGTTGAGTAATATATATTGGTTTAAAATGCTTGACGCCTGCGATTAAACAAATGCATTGTCTAAGTTGAAAATATATACTTCAATGATATATATATATATATATATATATATATATATATATGTGTGCTTGTTCTGACATTGAATATAAATTAGTAGTCATAAGCTGCATTTGATAAATATCTATTTGATGTAGCTGATATAATGTCAGTTTTATTATATTGTTACTCCATGTGTAAGTTGAACTTATTTTGAAAAGGTTAAAATTTTCTGACTATTATTAATAAACGCCTATTTATCTTGGACTTCAGATACTTTTTGAAGCGAGAAGCGCGTTGAAAGGAGTGGTATCTCTTGGGAAGAACACCCAAGCGAATTCTCACGCAGAAATATTAACATATACTACATATTCATATATAAGTCGATCCTTCAACTTCTAACAAAAATGTTAATTTAATATATTTCCTGTATAATATAAGGTTTTAACGGTAATCGAACAACAAATTAAACTAATAAAGCATATTTTATGTATGTCAAATACATTTCAGAAAATCTTACTTTAAAATCTTTCTATATTTTATAAAATGAGCCCCAGGGAGGCTGGAGTACCGAGAACTAATGGCAAAACATTTATCATTTATTATTCTACGACTTTATGCTAAAATGAACCAATTTTCAGCTGGAAAAGCTATATATTTTCATTCAAATATTTATTCAGTATAGAATATTATTGCAATAAAACAGTTTTTACGATAAAGTCTTACTATGTTAGGAACTTTTACAAAAGATTACTGTAAAAATGTTGTAAACCAAAACTAAATTGATGAGTCTCAACTATTGAAAGCACTGCATAACTTTTTGTTGCTAATTGCTACATATTTTTGTCTTCGTCGTGTACTAGTTATAATTAGTAAATATTTTTCATATCTGAAGTTAGCAATTGCTTTTAGTCCTTTTTTGTCGTGCATAGGTCTGAGTATAGCAAAAGAATTTCTCATATATTGCTTACTATAGAAATTTAGTTTTAAAAGTTCCACTAAATGTCCTGCCTTCTGAGCAGATCGGTTGGAATTTTGTTAGTGATGGAATTTTGTTTTTGATGCAGATATGAATATAATTTTGCAAAGTGTACCTGCCACATTTTCAGCAAGAAAATATCAAAATCATCATCTATTTACTTCTCATGAAATACTGACCAGACTGCAGCAATTTCGAGGTCGACAAGATTATTGATGAGGTTACTCGAGATTTTAGGTAATTTTCTCAGACGGATACGACTGACGAATATGTAAATAAAAATAATAATAATAATAATAATAATAAACTAAAATGTACTGAAAATACTCTCACTAGATACAATTGGCGTGAAAACTACGAACGTAAAAAGAAGGTTGTTAATTTATTGTGAAAAATACACAAAGTGAAGTATAGAAGAAGAAAAACTCTGCGAATGAAATACGCAACTATACAAATCCTTTTTCGCTTTCTGAGTCTATAGGCACCATTTGCACCGTTTGCACCATTTACGTCTCAGTGCTTCTGTAAAGAAGAAGGTCGATGGTCGTTATGTAACAAACATGGATTTCCGCCTTTGATTGATTGCTGCTCCCACACTATTTTTTATATGTAACAATTTAGTAAGTCTATATTATTTGTGGCATAAGGCCGAAAGCATTGAGCACCCAGTGAGGATCGAAGTCACTACTCAGTCGTAATTGATCTAGCGAGACAGACTTGATAGCCATTACACCATATCGAAGTAGCCTTTCTATTATTTATATTTAATATTACATGATTATAGGTTTACGTTTAGTACAATTACTAGTAGTCTACAGAGACGAGTAAACATTAACTTTCTACATACTTTAACTTCACATATAAAACCCTGAAGATATTTGAGGTGAAATGGATGTATTATAAACCATCAAATACGGTATGCTTTCATTAGTTTCAATCTTTAACGAGCTAAAATACATTTTCATTCCAAAACAAATTAAAAATAATATAATCTTTTATTGAAACAAAACAATTAGTTATAACAATAATAAAATTAACGATAGTTCCTAGTTAAAATTATATCGATTTACTAAGTGTAGCTTAGATGTTACACAAAGCTCAAAGTATAGAACTCTTAGGAAGGACTAAACTCACTCGTCAGTCGTATTTAATCAAGCTATACACGCTTTCTAACCATTAAACCACATCCAAGTTCCCTATCTAGTTAAAATTATATTGGTAACTTATTCTAAATTTGGTAATTTTTCCAAATCCGAAACACGCCCACATACTTTCACTTTTAAATAATGTATTTTTATTCGATCACCGTACATGACAAATTCTGTAGAACTAAATTAACTATTGTATTTTATGTAATTATAATGAATAAACAACATTCGGCTATATTTACGTAGGATTTTCAAAAAGTGATATAGATATTTTTAGATTATAGTTATGTAACCACAATATAAAAATATATATGAACGAGAGTATCGTAAATTTTATGAGTACAAAAGTGAATACTGTAACAAAGTTTTATTTTTCTCATTTTGGTTTCTAATTTTTCAATTCACAAAATTCAATGCAATGTCCACATCAATTTATGTTTATTAACAGGCAGGGATGAGTGTCATGTCGAAAATGAATGAATGGTCGTATGTCGACTGAAAATAATTTAGTAGAAAAGTGTTCATTGGTAATTTTACAAATAGTTGAATAAAATAAGCTAAGTCAATATATTCTGTTATTAATTTATAAAACCCGTAAGGCGATGGTGTTTCTAGTTATGACGAGGTTAAAATCCCAAGTTAAAAGACTAAAAAAATAACATATTTGCTTGATCAACGGTGATATGAAGTCTGGTTCTAAAAGAATAAAATAAAATAATAATTGATCACGTTGAGATTAAAATTGTAACCACTTTTGTAACTCGATTTCTAATTGATACTAGCTTAAATACATTTTGAAGGTTTATCCATAATATTTACTTATAAGTTTTTGGCTAATTATAATAAAACAATATTATAATTAAGGTTTACCATAATAAAGTTAAGCATCCAATAAGCAAAAGAAATGCAATGAAAGAAAAAGCTACTTATAAAAATAAAGGAAAGAATAATTATAAAATCTATTTTTTTCACTTCAGCCTCTCCCTCCTTTTTCTGTTCATGTTTCTTTTAATCTCATGTAATTTCTTTTTTGCAAAATCATGGGAAAACTATCTTTTCATTTATTGATTATATGTCTCTTTTCTTGCTTTCCCTTGTTCTTTCCTTTCCAAAGAGACAAGACACACTTGCATTTACACAGGCAATCGAAACAGAAAGGCATAGAAATTGACATCTAAACAACTACATTTTTAGTTGAATACATGAATTATCGAATCACATATCGCTATACACACGAGACATAAGTGTATATTAACCCTTGTTCTAAGAGTCAGCCGTGCTTAACGATGTTTTTTTTTTTTTTGTTTTTTTATTCTTTTGTGCTATTAACTTTTAAAATCGCTTCAAATGAGCGTAGGATTTCTACGAATCGCATTATCTGCGTTTATGTTAGAGGTGATGTGTTAAGTGAGTCTATGTCGATAACACTGCAATATGAACAGTTGCCGCAATGGTCACCTGAGTGATTGATTATTTAACCAGTTGAAAGAAAATATGTTCATACCAGAATCGAAGTGATAAACAATAAGCTTCAACTTGAGGAAACGGATTAATACTCAACATCTGAAAATGAACGTCTTCATACGTAATATATTTAATAAAATGCGCACTAGTCTCGAATACGGCACAAGGTTGTTTTTTTAAACATGGGTGTCCAACGCATTCGTCTAACCAGAGTTCAAAAATAATCCAATACTATTTTTCAGAAGTTATGCATACGTAAAGTGGACAGCGTTTCTGCTGTGTTAATGACTGATATATGAATTATAGTGCACAAGAAATTTATTTTTGGCATATCTTAAATTAAATAGTAACACAAACAAATCATTATTTTACAAATTAATAAAATGATTTAATTGCGGTAAATTTTAATCATGGCTACTCTTGTACCATTGTCAAAGCAACGACAATAAGTATGAGATAAGTGGAATTTCAATTTATTCCTTATAGATAATCCGAATATTCCTGGAAACAAATAATATCTCGATTTTTTTTTCTTAACTTTAACCCCACTATATGAAAGTACTGTTACATTTTGATCAACGACTAATATATTATTTACTTTCTCTAATAATCAACACACACAACAGAAAAATAACACTACCCACTAAAATTGGAGCTGCTAATTAATTTCTCTCAGAGTTCTACTTCCTTGGAAGTTCACTTAGCGACGCGACTGCACACACACTCACATACACACACACGTACACACACACGTACACACACATGCACACACACACATACACACACACACACATACTGCTCTACTTTTGCTTTGAATCCATTTTTCTGCACTCGTCCCTTCCCCACAACAAAAGTAGAATCACTTTTTCCCCGTTGTACTGATATCTATTTTTACCTGGCCGCTCATTTTACAGCAACAGATCCCAAATTTCGATTTATTCTAGCTTCTTTTTCTTTTTTTTTTTTTTTTACGTTCCGAGGGCGTTAGCAATGAGCTTTGATAGCTAGCAACTACCAAAGATAACGAACAGTATCAATGTGAAAACAATAACAATCATGTTGAAAATGATGTGTTCCAACGTAACAATAACAACTACCAAAATGATGTACTTTTATGATGAATGTCAGGTTATTATTATTTCAGGTTTACTTAGGCGAGCATGAAAAGTTTTTGTTTCAGTATGGAGAGGAAGTCGAATTGGAAATTCGGACTGAGTGGAAACCATAAAGAAATACAAGGAAAATGAAACTGTATTTAGCAGAAAGATATCACCTGAAAATAAGATTACCGATTAACAGAGATTATGTTTGTATATCTTTGCTGGATGGAATTGCGTCGAAAATTAATAATATATTACATTCAACGTATACAAATAATAAGGATTATGACAATATCACCATCTTCATCATTATCATCATCATTATCGTAGAATATAGAGTAATATGATACAAGGCTAAAATAGGGATAAGAAATAATTTGGTTTGGCATTTAACATATTCCGCTTTGATAGTCTCTTTCGTCAACATGTTAAATCACGTTAAAAGCCAGAATAAAGCTAGAAATCTCATAAACAAAGGGAGAAATAAGAGGAAAATGTTAAAATAAAAACTGAACATCATTTTTATGTACCTTTTTATCAAAGAGATAATGGGGATTCGCTAGCTACAAGACTGAGAAGGTTTATGACTTACTCAGAAGGAACATTGTCCATTTTTTAGAACGGTCACGCTCACTTAACGTCATTCGTGCAGACCAAACGTCACTTTTCCTTTGGCAGACATCTTCCATGGTTATTTATTGCCTAATACATCTGCACTTTAAATTGGTGATTAAAACATCCAACCGTTATCAAAAGAATCATTAAACTGCATGGTTCCATTCAGTCATGCGTTCTAAATTTAATTCTAACTATAGCATCAGAAAAAAGAGTTCGTTTCAACTAAGTTTTTGAACGGGTCACATTGTTACATATGGACAAGAAAATTGTCACCAAATCTAAAAATGCGGTGGTAGAAAAATGTGCCCAGCCGTTTCTTCCAATCCATTGTACCGATTATAGGGTAGAAAAGATGCGATATTCGCTTTGGGACATATTTCATTCACCAAGTGGCCTAAAACTCAAAACGACTATGTCTAAATTCACATGGAACGAAGACCACAGTGATTTTTTTCCTCATTGTCTGATACAATGTTATTTTGGTTCGTGAAAGATCAATGTACCTCGAAATTCTAATCTACTCTAGCAAAAGAACTGCTTCTCTCTCCACTGTCTCTCCCTTTCTCTCTCTATCCTCTCTATCTATATATATATATATATATATATATATATATCCTCCTGTCTCTCCTGTCTCTCCTGATAACTGTGCTGCCATACCAAATTTTGATTGCGTGAATGTGATAGATAAATCTCTTAATATATATTTATATATATTAAGGAATTTATCTATCAAATTCACGCAATATGTACATATATATATATATATGTATGTGTGTGTGTGTGTGGATAGATAGATAGATAGATAGATAGATAGATAGATAGATAGATAGATAGATAGATAGGGAGGGAGAGAGAGAGAGAGAGAGAGAGAGAGAAAGAAATAGAGAAAGAGAATGTCCTCAGTCCAGAATGATCCAAGATCTATATTCAGTATTATGAATGCCATTTAAGCATACATTTCGCGAGCTGGTTTCTCAGTTGTTATTTTTTCACTTTTCTTTGAAAACATTGTTCCTTTTAACGTTGCTGAATGGTTCAGCCACAATTCTCCGAAAGGCTTATAAACATGGAGTCTTTCTAAAGCTTTAGTCACTTATTTTCCTGTCATTTTTTGCTTTATATTTTCATTTTTCTTCATTTCAGTTTGTTATTTACCAGATAAAACTTACCGCTCGTATTTTTTGTATTTACTTAATCTAATTAAGTTGAAGTTTCTTCCATACTTCTCAAGCAACAAATTCCTTTCAATGCTGAAAACTGGAAATTATTTCCGAATGTTATAAAAGATGTCAAATAAAATGTAGATAAATTCAAGTAAAACTATTTCGTTCCCAAAATTCATTGAAGTATCTGTTTGCATCAAGTGCTGTAATCTTGGAAATCTTCATTTCATTTGTTGGCTTCCTAAATACTGAGGTTCCTTCATATATCTTGAGTTCAATATTTAGAACACAAGTATTGCAAAGATATTAAATGTAGTATTAGAAGATGATGATGATGATGATGATGAAGAAGAAGAAGAAGAAGAAGAAGAAGAAGAAGAAGAAGAAGAAGAAGAAAGAAGACTTATAAGATTCTAAAGTGACTTTCTCATGTTCCATACGAAAATACACTAAAATAAACAATTCCAAATAAATAAATGTCCATTACTAATGCACTTAACCAATTAAAATGAAAATATTACGAAACAGAGAACTTTGCTTTGATTATAAAACTAATATGATATTCAATGTGGACCTCTGTGGTAGTTTTCAAACAACCATAGGTGTAGAGCATTAACACAATTAATATTATCTCTGATAGAGGGAAACATAAGCACAAGACAAGAGAGTGGATTGTCGAAATAGAAGAAATGTTGTCCAAATTTTGTCTTATAAGAATAAAGATAACCTAAATAGTTTTACTTGTTATATATCCTGTGATCTTCTGACTTTCTATGTCCATAAATTACAGTATTAATGAACATTAGGCAGGCACTGTACACTGTCCATATATAATTCATGTTTTGATATTATATTTCTTAGAGCATTTGTGTTTCAGAATATGATCATCTTCGCATGCGCTTGTATTTGGGAGCAATATTTTGCAGATTGTACGAAGAAAAACTAGGTATAGCAACAAAACCAGGCAAATAAAAAAAAAGGAGTAAATCATGACCGCGTGTTTATATACGAATAAATATCTGATGGCACCTGATTAAACAACTATTTATAGATGTGAGTATGCAAATTTAACGTACTCTAGATTATAAAATGAATCCTGTGATATGAAATATAGGTTCTTTAGTTTTACATTTGTTTTTATCATGTAGGATAGAACTGCAGTAGTAATTGGTCAAATACTCTTTTCCTTTTATTTGTAATTATATACCTTGATAAAGTTCTTCAGAGGACGAAAACGTTGGTAAAGAAAAGTGTTTCCTTCTTGCGAATCAGTGTGAACACCATCTAGGTTGTTCATGGCAAGCGTTCAACGGAGCATGATAGCAGGTGGTAGACGGATGGAAATTTTATTTCTGAAATCGTGGGGATATTTCACACCCCTCTATCTCTGGTATCATATATGTACCAAAAAATAGCAAATGGATGCCATTACCGCTATTCACGGACAACAAAGTAGCCGACCACGAGTTTTTAATGATTGTAAACAGAGGTGCCTGGCAAGAATGGGCTATGTTAACAGACAAATGGCACTATCTACAAAAACCTTAATTTAATTTCAATTTTTTCAACAAAGTTTACAAGAAATACTCATTTCCGATGAAGATGTAAAAAATAATCATCGCACATATCTTATAAATATTTTAAAGCGGTCCAGAATAATTTAATTACTCAGAGTTCCTGAACATGAATATATTTTCTATCTGCCAGTCCTTTAAAAATACCTCTTTTAGTTTATAAGCGATTACAATGATAAAATTACAATGACGACAGTGAAAGGGGCAACCTCTTTGATGCTTATTACTAATGGTAATGAAGCCAGACTATTCTAAGATTTTTACAAAGCCTGGAAGTGCAGGAAGAGTACAGTATTATTAATTGTAAGAAAATATATTTAAGACTGTACAAGATAAAACCTGATGATAATCATAAAGAATTAACATAATACAAATACCATAAATCTCATTTTTGACAGTCTAGTGAAATGAATATTTATTAATCCATAATTGTTAGTCTTGGCCAATGACATTTATCTTTCTCAATTCAAAGACAAAGTTATAGTCCCAGAAAATTTACAGACAACGATGCTATTTATTGAGCAATTTTATGTGGGGGCGTATAATATTAGTAACAGTTGTTTCACCTACAGTATCACTTCGGGTGTTTAGAGCAACCCTCAATCAGAAATTGTACCCATTTACATGCTGAGAAAACCTGTAATGTAAATAACTAAAAATAAACCGCGAGTCAATCAATTGAGTAACTGATGCTTTCGCTATATTTTTTTCTTGAATTTATTGAATTTGCTCTTACCTGATGATAAAATAGAAGGATCAAGTTCAAGTGGCCGAATAAAAAAAGAAAATTTCAAAATTGTTTACAACCTGTCGACAGCCTCAAACACATCTGTTTGTCAGAGAAGGCGTGCAATGCTCCACACAAAATAGTTTCACCTCAAAGATTATGTTTCATTGAGATAAAAGTAAACGTCACAAAACTGCTGTCAAAAGTAGATCTACAATATTAGAAACGGACTGTTGCTGTCCTAAAAAGTAATAGAGAAAAATCACTTTAGAATATCTTTCTCGATTACCATAGCAACAGACAGAGATGAAAATTCTGGCATATCACTCGACCAAAATGATGAAAAACGAAAACAGAATTCAGTTTTCACGATCTTTTTTTTTTTTTTTTTTTTTGTGATAGCATGTTTAGTGATAGCTATACACATACATAATATCCACATCTGTACTGATTAATACCTGACTGCAATTAGATACGTATATATTAAAGCATGATTGTGTGTCTATGTTATATTCCCTGCTCTAACTTTTATTTTCCATTATGGAACAATTATTGGAATTGGTGCTAGTAATGTTCAATCAGACATTGCTTCTGCTCCTCTTAATAGACGCGGACAAGAATAAAAGACAAAAATTAAAGAAGCTCAAGTTCCTCTTCCTCTCCAAATATTTTAATTACGAAGCAGAAATGAAATATAACAATTTGGTTAGAATTAGTTTTATTTTTGGAGACTGATTTTATTAGTATTTTTTTTTCTTTGAGTTGTGATTCTTTTTTCCTTAGGAATCAGCTCTTCTTCTTCTATGTTATCCTTTCAGGACGTAGGTGATAATGGCTCTCCACAATTTCCTGTCCTCTGTAGTTCTTAATAACTTTTGTCTTTTTCTTATCTCTCCTAAACCTTATTCAGCTATCCATTTACTATCCTTCGTGAGATTTGCATTGTTTTTCTCTGTTTCTCTTACCTCCAAACAGTCCTGTGAGTATCAAATTTTCCATGTCTTCTTTCCTCATTATATGCCCCAGAAATTTCAACTCTCCCTTCTTGACGTTAAATGTAAGTTTCCTTTTTGTTTCCATATTCTCTAAAAACTCGTTGCTGCTCACATGCTCAGTTCATGGTATTCTCAGCATCCCTCTGTAGAACCACATTTCTGTTGCTTGATGTCTCTTCTTCATCTATGAGAAGATTGTCCAACATTCACTGCCATATAGGAAGACTAATATTACATAATATTTCAATACTCTTTTCTTTGTTTCTAACGAAATTTTCCTGTTTTTTAATACTTTGCTTAGTTTTTGGAAAAAAAATGAAGCAGATATGTATAAAAATAATGAACTTACAGGACAAAAGACATGCTCATCAGCAGGATGCATCAAATCCAAAGACGGGATACTGAAAAAATATACTTCAGAAATGGAATGAATACATTGGAGAACCATTCCTCGACGAAAGAAAACAACCGACAAAACTATGGCTATTATATTTTATCAAGTTTTTGATGATCAACAGCAGATATCAATCCCTGTCTCTCAATCTTAAAAAATATAATACTTTATTTCTTTTAAAAGACATAAATTATATATTGTTTAAAAGGTCATGTGTAACTATAAAATATCAAAAGATAGTTGCATTCAAAAAAGATATCTGTTATTTCCATTCATATTTTTAAATTTCTTCAAATGAGTAAAAATAAGTTTTCAAAATCACAAACTCTATAATTACTATTCTAAATTTTATAAGAATTTAGTGGAGTAAGAAAATTTCGCTAAAAATCAAACTAAAAATGAATGCATTTCTTCCTTTCCTTTCTTCTTATGTTTTATCTTTTCGTTGCATTTATCTCTCCACTTCTTTCTTCTTTACACCTACTTTCTCTCTTTGTACGCATCTCCATATTTCACCCTCTCTTTAGCTTACCTTTTCGCCAATTCTTCGCGTGTAACTGCTTTCCAAAGTTTGTTCTTTCATTTTTTATTCGTTTTCTTAATATTTCTTTTTTTATTTGTTCCTTTCTCTGGTGCAACTAAAGTTGTTTAATATGTCAACTGCGATTGCACCAGAGAAAATGAAAAACGAAGCAGAGGTAAATAAGGAAAAGACTTCGTAGCTTTTCAAAAATCAGAGATATGACAAATATTAATTTTTATTCCAAAAGTGGTCACTGCAAAAATATTGAAATTAATTTTAGTGTCTCAGTAAATTTTATTACTTTCTTTGTGAGGAATGTATTAGGATGATTATTCATTTGATACGTTGAAATCTAGACATTTGAAATGGACAGTCAAATTTAGATATTTTTCCACGGGGGTTTAGCTTCTGCGAGTCACTCATCTTCGGGAGTTTAACAATTTACAACTGAACTTCCGAAATAAATTGTATTGCTTTATGTCATTTAAAAAACATAAATCACGAAAGTGACAAATGTTATATATGTATCTATATGTCGGGCTATGCGTCATTTCTTATGGATAGCCTTAG